GGGCCAAGCAGGAGATCGCAGCTCTGCGGGATGCCGCTGCTAAACCGCTCGTCAATATCTTCCCTCGTCCGATGTTTAGGATGGAATGCTTATTACTTATCATTTTCAGATAACGGTGTGTGGGTTTGGTGAACGAAAATATTTTATGGTTGGATCGTTGGTTGTTAGTGATTCCGGGCGCGTCAATTACCGAGGTCATTAGTCCCGTAAGTGTATTGCTTGTTTTTGTGGCATGGTATTGTATTATATAAATTTGAAAATGTGTTCACGTATTGTAAAAAAATTAACTACGGAAATTTCGCAATTAAAATTGGGCCAAACATACTTTTCAGTGAGCGAAAATCAAAAGAACGAAGGCTGCGATATGGCACCTTTAAATGTGTTAACCTTTCACTCTAATGGGACGAATATCTGAGCATACACTGGACACCAACACACTTACAGTCTCTTCTGATCTGGGGTCATCGGATCGCGAACCCCTTCGTGCATGATTGATTGACCCTTGTCTCTTATGTATAAGGCGGGACTCGAAGCCGCGACCCTTCGGACCGAAGCGCTGAGTCAGTACACGCGCTTAGCCACCTCGGCCATCTAGATCGTCTAAATGTGGTTGTTTAAAACAAATAGTTTAATGCAACCCGCATTGCGTCTCTGTATTAAGGAATTGCGTTTCAACGAGACGAAGAGGGGCTGGGTTGTGAAAGGCTGTACGGATCCGTGTGTAACGGTTTGTGATGGGACCAGATGGGATTGAGTCAATTTGGGCTGGTAGGAGTGGAGTGGTGGAGTGAAGTAGAGTGGGCTGCAGAAGTGCATGGGTGGAGTGGAGTGGAGGGGAGAGGAGAGGAGAGGAGAGGAGAGGAACGAGTCGTAGTAGGCATTCGGGATGGTGGAGGGCTGGGTCGAAAAATTCCTTACTCTTATGGATGGGTTAATTGAAGTTATCTTCCGCAAAAATATATTTACTTATGAGTTTGTGAAGGATTTGGGCACATATTTCGAGACAGAAGAATTTTTTGTAACCTTAATTTTTATTTTTTTTTATTTGTAATGTTGTACTCTATAATATCAACACTCAATTTTACAGCCTGATAATGGGCATTTTCCTTAAACAATTGCAAAGAAATTATGAAATGAATTAAGGCTTCAAAAAATTCGTCTTTCTATAAATATGAACTCTAGCCTTTCACAAACTCACAATTTATCACAAGACAGATCAAAAGGTGGAAATAAATATCCATTTATACAGCATTGTAGGCTTTCATGGCCGGAGTCAATATTCTTCATGTCTTCCGGGCTGATGGTCCGTGGTCCAATTGGCTCTGGGATGCCAAATATCCATTTACACTAAATTAAGGTAATTATTTTATTTAACTGCAGTATTTCATTTTATCCTGCGAATTAACAATTATTGTTTTGTATATATTCTTTTACCGAGCGAAGTGGCTCAGAGCGTAGCGCGCTGACTTCGCATTCGGGGTTCCCAGCCGTCAGTACCGGCCATCCTGACCAGGGTTTTCGTGATATTCCACAGTTCATCCATTCAGACTAATCCATTCAGGCTGGCACGGGTATTCTGAAAGGCTACGGCCGCGAAACCGGCGTCGCTAACCTATTTACTTAACTTCTCTCCGCGATGTCACGAAGATTAACCGAATTCGAGATATTGTGGGTTCCTGGTTGGGTGACCAACTGGAAACCCCGGGATATAGCAGCACCGCCGAAGCCAGTTGCCCTTTACGGGACATTTAATGGCTAAATGCAAATATATTATTTTGTATATTTTCTTTTATTCATATGATAGCGAGCATTAAATATGATCTAAAATTCCTCTAAAGATCTATACGGGAATGTAAGGCATGAATTTACTGTAAACAGTTTATACTGGAAGATTACCTTCAAACGGAGTGAGACTGTGACACACGGGGTAAGAAAGTGCCATGCTCAATTTCTTGAGATATTCGCATCCTATGACCATACATTCATTGACAGGTATAAGAAATTTCATATTATTTGAACTAAAAAAAGTATTTACACAGCAAGCTAGAAACAGCAAATGTCTTATAGATGTCCAAAGGATTCGTATATCTCAAGAAATGGATCGCCGCATATTCTTACTCCATGTCACACAGTCTCGCTCGATTTTTCGGTACTTCTCTTTACGCGTTCATAGGGGTTTTCACAAGATTTCTGCTCTAACCACCGATATTATATCACTTTTATTTTATCCTTTAGATAGATTTTTTCATATCTAATAAATAAGCTTCATAAATAAACGCACAATTATCACATTCGGTTGCTTCCACTAGTCAGTTTTATAAATTGTGGTGAATTATATGTATCTCACATTCTAAATGGTATGTTACTTTGAAAAAATATTACGTATTCATTATTCATGTTTTTCTTTGCAGGTAAGCACCCAGACGTGTCTTATCGGTGAAAGAAATCTGACGACAATCTCATTTTTCGTAGTCAAGGTTTACTCACGACAGCGTCCAAGGTAGGTGATTGGAAACACTTCACCTAAAGTAGCCTTTCTCGCTAGAATGTTCTTCATTCTGTTGAAGGAAACCTTTCTAATGATAGAAAGTCAACATTTGTTCTGTCTTACCTGTCTTGACGTACCAGACCTTCGGCAACCTTCGACTGCAGATGTATCTACGCAGTAGTTAGCTCATTCATCGCCAATATATTTACTTGCACTGCGCAAAGAAACGAGAGTTATGCTTTTACCGACGACATTGAAATTTCGTTTTGTCCTAGTAACATTTGAATCTACCAATGGATTGTCTCGACTGCGGAAGTAAATTTTTAATTTTCTTCGTTGATATTATACGGATCAGTGCTTCTCAACCTTTTTACTTTCTCGCTACTGCTTACACAGTAGAGAGAACGTTATGAAGTACTGCTCGAAAAACGGCGAATTTTCTAATTACTACCTCTTATTACAGGGCCATGATACCGAAAAGTGGTTAAATATAGTTGCTAAATTTAGAAAAAAACCTCTAATACGTGTACCCAGAATCCCTGTTTTGTAGATTGAATAACGGCTGAATGGATTGAATAAAAAGGCTGGCTCTGTATGTCCCTCCGTCTGTGAACAATGCTAGCGGGTGAACCATTCAACGAAATTTCTCCAAAAGTGGTATTTCCCGATCGGTCTGGCTAACATCGCGGCCTCTTGAATTTGAAACCGATATTTTAATTTTGGGGGCACTTTACACGAAGCCCCTAGTATTTAAAAAAATATAAAATTGCCACGAATAAAGCACGTTCTTTCATTTATCTTAATGAAAAATGCACTACACTTACGGGACTAACGATACTGGTAGTTCACGCTTTAGGAATCACTAACAATAATTTTTTTTCATATTGCCATAATTGTGAAGCATATTACTTGCAATGTTATTAGCATCATTTTATTAATATTCATTACTGTATCACATTACGGGTGAATCGTTTAACATCATGTTTTGTCAGGTACTGTGTATGAACGAAAATTAGTGATGGTGTGAGAGACTGACAGGGAGAGAGAGAAATTGGGGGAGAGAGACATAGGAAGTGAGAGATATGGATTGAAGAGTGTCTGAAAGGGAGTGGAGAAATATATACGTAGTGAGAGTGTTATGGAATGGATAGGGAGAGTCAGGGAACGGAGGAGAGACGTAGCAAAGAGAGAGGGGGGAAATTGAAAGACCCACAGGAGTGAGGACAGTCAGAGATGGAATGGGGAGAGACAAAGGGGGAATAGGTAGAACGAGAGGGTAGAGAAAGGGAGCGAATTAATAGAAAGGGAATGGACAGTGAGGGAAGGTGAAGTGAGGGAGGGATAAGTGAGAGAGAGAGATTGGGAAAAGAAAATGAGTGGGAGTGACAGAGAACGTGGGAGAGAAATATGCGATGAATAGAGAGCGAGAGGGAGTGAGGAATCAGAGAAAGGTAGCGGAGAGAAACATAGAACGTGGAAGAGAGATATATGCAATGAACAGAAATCGAGAGTGTGTGTGGAACAGAGATGGAGTGGCGAGAGTAGGGAGAGGACGAGAAAGACGATCAGACCGAGAGTTGGAGTAGAGAGAGACAGAGAGGGGGTGGGAAAGTTGAAAGACAGCCGACTGTGCAGGAAAAGTGTGTACAAAGGGGAACAGTGTGAAGTAATCGGATTGAGACCCGCCGCGGGGGCAGGGGAGGCGGGCGACTGATAGGGCGACAGGACGAACGTGGGCGACGAGGGTGACGAGGCGGCGACGAGGGCGACGAGGGCGACGACAGGGCGACCAGGGGACCAGGGCGACCAGGGGACCAGGGCGACGCAAGGGCGACCAGGCGACCGCGACCAGGCGAAGGGCGCAGGCCGACAGGGCGACCAGGGCGACCAGGGCGACCAGGGCGACCAGGGCGACCAGGGCGACCAGGGCGACCAGGGCGACCAGGGCTACGAGGGCTACGAGGGCTACGAGGGCGACGTGGGCGACGAGGGCGCGAGTCGGGCTCTAAGATGCCGCGCCGGAGCCTGGGGCGCGAGGCGTCTGTTTCTTGCTGCCGCGCGAGAGCACGGCCCCGGGCTGCTGCTCTGGGGCCGCGCCTGTCTCCAGGTGGAAACGGGGAGGGGGAGAGGGAGGGGGCGGGCAGGTGCCGCGAGGAGGAGGAGGCGCAGATCGATGGAGGGCGCGAAAGAAGCAGCGCGCCGTGCACATCCCCTCCCCTCCCAACACTGGGCCCGAACGACGCCAACCGCACGCGCAACGCCCCTGATGAGTTACCTCAGAGCCGTTCCACCCGTGTCCCTGACCGGGAAGTCCTAGGGTTCGAATACCGACGGTGGCAGACTTTACGACACCAGCTCTACAGCTACGTCGAATTCAGTCGCTGTCTGGAGGAGCATTCTAGCGGCCGGCTGCTCCGATCGGTAGTCTTCCGTGGTTTCTCTGATCGACACCAGGCGAATGCCAGAGCAGTACCCTTACAAACGTGCCACAGACTGTGCGCGATCTTTCCTTCCTATTAGCTATCTTATTTTTTCTTCTTACATAAACGCACACTTACGTTCACTACACCACCACACATGGGAATTGTGAATGTGAACGGGCTTGGCCGGTGCCCTGCTGGTGGAGATACTTGGTTAACGAAAACTCTACCAACCAACGTATAAGTCGGCGTCGGATCTTACAGTCGAGAGGGGAAACACCACCTCCATATATAGCGACAAAATACTCCCTACAGAAACTGACTAATAATTATAGTAGTCTGCAATGTATATTGTAAAACGATATAATGCACGTTAAGGGTAACCACCTGACCTATCTATACTTTGATGCATTGAAAATATTTTGTACAATTTTTCTTTCTAAGACTACGATAAAATAATGTACTTCCGCACTGTGTCGGATGCCAAATTCCCAAAATTTCATATCCTCTTGATTCAAATTTGTTCGACTACAGATTACACAATGGGAATATAGAATTAACATCACACTCAGGAGAGGCTATAGCTATCTCCCAATACAGATTCATCCAGTGTAAAATACCAATGTCCGAGAATAATAGTTACCAAATACTAGAGATGTAGAAAATGATAACGTTTTGCCAATGAACATGTAAAGAGAAATTTCATATGACTGAGTTTGCACGTACGGTTTTTGCCCCTGACTGTTTGGCAACTATTATGAACAGATGTTCTGTGACACGTCCTGTCACAGTCAAGATTTCATGGACCCGTCGTTCGTCTGTGCGGAAAGGGTTGCCTATAATTCAGGGGTTACTATAACATGTGTAACTTCGTACAAAATTTTCCACTGTGTAAGTTGTAACGTGTATAATGAAATTATGTCCCGCAACAGCGTATGCACCCGGAGATGACCGCCATCGTTGGTATCTCAAATAAATTCAGCTGCCGCTATTTTTCACTTACCCAACGTCGCTGTCCGTTCACCCCTCTCCTGAGGTAATTTTAAATAAAACACTTTAAGTTCCACCACGAAATATATTGTTCGTGATTTCGGGTTACCACAAACAATCGGCCAACTATTTCTTGCTCCGCTTCCGGGGATATCTTGTTCCGAAGCCCAGAACGGCCTATTTCTTAAATACCTCCCTCGACAGATGCACGAAAATACAAATTTTTTTTTTGAGTTCATATTTTGATCATCGTGAAAATACCCAGGTGCACATGCGGTCACGGTTCTGCTGAGTACAAATGAAACATGGATTCTAATTTCCTTTACATTAATTCTGTTTTTTGTTAACTTCTTTAAAATAGGTGAGTAAGAGTATAAATTAAATGTAACAAATAAAAAAAATATGTATCATGAATATTGCTTATATCTTTACAACCGAGCTACCATCGAATCTGTTATCATTGAATTTGTTATCATTGTGAAGAGGAAGGAAGTCATTGCTTGATCGCTTGGGTACATGGGACTGCTTTGCCGATATGTTTCGATACGATGGGCTCGATGTGCCAATACAATTTTGGTTTAATAGTTGCGTACTGTTAACATTTTTATCCCCAAGATAGACCATTTTATATATCTATACAATATATATGTGTCTCAAAATAAAAGTTACAAACTTTTAGCGCATGTAGAGGGGTATAAATGATCACTACTAATGAATGTTTTGTGCTTTTATTCGCCTGGCATTTGCGCATGATTTTTAGGTATCTCTATATTCACAAACATTCACGTTGTAAAGCATCACAAAAGTCAGGTTGTAAAGCATTTAAAAAGATTTCAGAGTCTGTCGAACATAGAAGCATGTGGGACAGTTTAAATATCAGGGACAAATGATACTTTACATGTGTTTGTAACTTACAAGCAATTTCTCACAATTGATTTATTGGAAAAAGCAATCCTTTTTTATCACGATCTATATTACTTAGTGGTTTAAGTACTGGACGTGTCAAAATAGATGACCAAAAACCTTGAAGTTTATAACAAGAAAGATATTTGAGCTTTCTACTCAAAACTTGTAAGTAGTTATTACGCGTGTTTATACATCCCGATTCATTGTTTTAGCAAATGTCCTCCACACTCTTCACCAGGAAGAGCACGCATCGGATTTTCAAACAGGGCTATGAGTCCTAATGATTTTTTATTTATATGGGATGTCATGGGAATGATGTATCTAATATATAAGAACAATGTTTTCTTGTTGGTTGGTACTTAATGTGCTGTCGTATTGTTCTTTCGATTGCAATAAAACTTTGCCTATACTCTTTCCACACGTTCTAGCAATAAGTTGACATAGTACGATTGGAATATATTCCCACATAGACGCATAGTCATAGATTGATGATTTTATGCTGACTCAAGCGCCCTTGAACAGGACAGGACTACGCAACCCGCCGCATCCTGAAGTACGAGTATTTAGGTAGTCTTCATAGCATATGCTGCCCCTGCGATTGTGAAGTTTCGTCCGGGAGAGTCGGATATACAGAGAGAGAGAGAGAGAGAGACGGAGGGATATAAAGACAGACAGACGCAGAGAGAGAAGCGGAGAGAGA